ATTTTTGGACTGAATTTGAGCATAAATTTTTTGTGGTAATTACATAAAATCAGACATTAAGTTTGACCTTCTTAAAAATGAGGTTTTGGCTTTATTTAATCAAAAATCATGTTTTAATTTTACAATTAATATTAATAATAATATTTTAAATTAAATTAATCTACTTAAAAAATGTTGCTAAAACTCAATTTTGTTAAGCAATAGCAACATTCATGCATTCAAATGTTGCGATAGATCCCTTTGGCAATATTTAAATACCAAATGTTGTCTTTTATGTGTTGCAAATTGTGTTTTTTGGCGTAATGCATATGAATTATAAAATGGGAAAAAATAAATAAAAAAATGAAGCTGATTTCGAAATACTATAGATTTTGGTGTCAATCTTCATGGAACACGATCCTAAAACTATGCTGCTATTTCATCAAAAACAAAAAACAAAACAAGAAGTTGACTCAGGTAATTAACTAGGCACTTTTTTCTAGTAAATCCCTTCCAAGAAATTTGAACTAATTTCTGTAATTACCACTAGTTTATAATATAAAAAATACACATTCATAGAACAGAATCATCATGGTGTTAGAGCCCTGTCTTCCTTTAGCTTTACACATTGTCTTGACTATAAAGAACATGTTGACAACATAGTTGGCATTTTTAAATTAATTTCACCATGCATACGAAGGGAAATGAGGGAGTTTCGAGATGGAATTGTCTTGGATCGATGAAAGCGCTTTGGGTGGCAAAGCGGATTGCCTTAGTTGTGTCACTCGAATGAAAAAGGAAGAAAATAATTCGGTTCCATTTCCTTTTTTTAAGGAAAAGATGTCATACCCTCATCTTAACTGGTTACCAAACGCGTGACTTGATTATCAGTTTTGACAATTTCACTTTTGGGCATTAGTTTAGATTGCGATTTTCAAAGTAATTACCTTTTACTTTCTAATTCAAGTTACCCTAAAGTTTTCTTGCCCTATCAACCTTATGTTTAATGTCAATTCACAACAACTAACATTGTAATATTATTTTATTGCAAAATGTGTAGTTGAAAAGAAAATAGAGAAAAATGTATTTCGAAAATAACGTGGATCAAATAAATCTAATCTCTTTAACTATGAGAATTTACGTTATAAAATTGTGCACGAGTAGAGTGTACAAAGATAAAATAAATCCAACCAAGAGCCATGTTGGGGGTGGAGGGAGGGGGGGGGGGTGGAAAACAATACTCACTCTTGTACACGTGTCAAGAAACTGTTGAAAATGAAATAATTATTGCACCTAAAAAATTAATCTAGAGAGAGTGCTTGTTGAAACTTCTTTTTCTATATGATACATGCTACATAAATTAAAATGCATAATACAGCTTCAGAACAAACCCAAAAGGACCAAGATCAAACAAAATGAAAAAAAAGTTTTAAAAAAAAATGAAAAATAGACCAACAACAAGAGCTAGCCATTAGCGAGCTCAAACATCAGACATCAACATGGCAGCTCATAATTAACTGATACTTAACAGCAATGCCACTGTTTTTATTACCAAAGTTTATATAAGCCGGACAATTCACTTACAAATGATACTTCCGAGATACGAATGTTCCAACTCTCCATCGTATTCTTCCATTCACCCTAAAGTTAATCAACACTGTTCCGATCGACCATTTGATCCTGGTGCAGAGAACCAGCAAGGGACGGCGCCACTGGCACTGCACTCCCGAACAGATTTGGCGCCCAAACTGTAATATCTTTGTGTCCCTGGTAGCCAGAAGGGAGCAATGTGTGGAGGGTGATTTGTTGGCCATGGTACGAGGCATATACGTCAAGTTTATCGTAGTATATGCCGATTCTGCCATTAGGGTTGCGAGAGGAGAGTGTGATTTGGAGATAGGAAGTAAGGAGGTTGGGGGCGGAGAGGTTGAAGGCATAGACAGTGGCATCTTGGAGGATGAAATGAGGATTTAATTTGTATGGCAGAGGATGAGCCATACAAGGAGGACGATGAAGAGGACAATGAATATGAAGCCGGATATGGCGATCAAGAGGCGAATATAGAGCTTCTTCTTCCCACCGCCGTGTTGGCCACAATCTTCCCTCATTTTTTGGTTAGGGAACAAGGCGTTGTAGGGGTTGAGAGCTTTTGGGTTAGAAAAATGGTTCAAGGTTTAGTGTCTTGAGTATGAACTATGAAGCTTTGATGAAACAACTGGACCCAGTGCACGGTGCCATAATATTTGTACATTCAAATGATGAAAACATGTTTATTGAAGAAAGAGAAGTAGATCTCAACGTATAAAGACAGTCAACTCTTTAATGTCATTTTTTTAAGAATAATGCAATTTGAAAGTTAGGAAACCTTAATTAATTGCTATCCATTTTAATAAAGAAATTGAAAGCGAAAGATTAACCAATTAATATATATAATATCGTAATGAAAATGGTTTTTGTCAAGCCTAAGGAATCTAATATATGCGAGTTTGTCTTTTTCTTCGAAAACTATATTTCTATCATTTTCACTTGATGTAACAACTATCTATTTAATTTGCGATTGATTGAAATAGTTTTAGGCGATAATATGATAAGAAATGACCAATCCCACTGGGGACTTTACTTAAATTATGCAACTTCATGGAGGACGGTGGCGCGGCCACCTGTGGGGGTGGTGGTTGCTGATGGACTGACGTTGTGAACGGAAACAAACATGCAAATCCGAAACTTCCCTTTGATTTGAAGGCTACTATTAAGATGATGATGCCAATCACACTTGGTCTTGAAGTACTAAACACTATGTTGTACAGATATGTTCATGCTTTACACATTAATGTCATAGTCATAAAGAACACGTTGACAGCATAGTTAGCATTTTGAAATTAATTGCACCATGCATATGAAGGGCAATGAGGTGAGAGAGTTTCGTGATGGAACTGTCTTGAATCGGCAAAAGTGCTTTGTGTGGCAAGGCACGGGATTAATGCCTTAGTTGAGTCTCTCGAACGAAAAAAAAAGGAGGAAACCAATTCGGTCCCATTTTCCTTTCTTAAGAAAAAGAGATCGTAGCCCAATCTCAACTGTTTACCATATGCATGATTGAGTTCTCCATTTTGGCAATTTCACTTTTGAACATCGGTTAACGATTGTGCTTTCCAAGGTACTTCTGAAGGGCGCATGTTACCTTCTAATTGAAGGTACATAAATTTTGTTCCATTTGTCACACTAAATTTTTCTTGTCATTTTACTTGCCCCCATCAACGCTATGTTTAATGTCAATTCACCTTATGCAAAACCCAAGCAATTTCGTTCTTAAGTAAAGAAGACGACTAACATTAAATTAAATAAATAAATCTAATCTCTTTAACAACTTGTGAGGATTTACGTTTTAAAATTGTGCATGAGTCGATTGTTTGAAGATAAAACAAATTCAACCTCTCCAATCAAGTGGGGTGTGGAAAACAATATTTACTCTTGCACACATACGTCCAGAAACTGTAAAAAATGAAATAAAATGTTGCACCTAAAAAATTAATCTGGAGAGAGTACTCGTTGAAACTTCTTTCCTCATACAATACTAGTGAGTAGTGTGTACATGATACATAAATTAAAATGCATAATACAACTTCAGAACAAGCCCAAAAGGACTTCAAGATCAAATAAAATGAACAAAAGTTAAAAATTAAAATAAACCAACAATAAGAGCTAGCCATTAGCCAGCTCAAACATATCATGCATCAACATGGCAGTTCATAAACTGAAGAGCATTTCCAGTAGAAATGCCACTCATGTTTCCATTACCAGAATTTATATAAGCCGGACAGTTCACATGCAAATGATACGTCCCAGATACAAATTTTCCAACTCTCCATCGTACTTTTATACTCACCTTAAAGTTAATCAACACTGTTCCGCTCATTTGCTCTTGGTTCAAAGAAACAGCAAGGTGCGGCGCCAATGGCACTGCACTCCCGCGCAAAGCTGGCGACCAAACTGTCATCTCTTTGTTTCCCTGATAAGTAGAAGAGAGCGTTGTGGTGGGGGTAATTTGTTGGCCGCGGTACGAGGCAGATACTTCAAGTTTATCGTAGTATATGCCGATTCTGCCATTAGGGTTGCGGGAGGAGAGGGTCATTTGGAGATTGGAAGTAAGGAGGTTGGGGGAGGAGAGGCTGAAGCCATTAGCGGTGGCGCCCTGGAGGATGAAATCAGGCTTCGTAGGGCGGAGGATGAGCCATACAAGGAAGACGGTGATGAGGGCAGTACATATGCAGCTGCATATGGCCATCAAGAGCTTATAGAACTTCTTCTTCCCATTGTCGTGGTTGCAGCAATCTTCCCTCATGTTTTGGTTAGAGAACAAGGCCAGGGTAAGAAAAATGGTTGAATGTTGTGTCTACAAATTTCTCTAGTGCTATAATCTCATTTATAGTGAATTTTGTTAGGAGGTTATGTTTTGAATAATACTATTTAGCACCGGTCTAAATGTCCACGCTTGACAGGTGCAATTAAGGCCCTGTCTGGACGCCATTTTTGGAGGAAAGAAATTCATTTTTTGTCCGTTATAGCCTGACATTTTTGACCCACTCTTTCACGAGTGGGACCCAACGGAAATATTTTGGCTTTTAATTCAAAAGGAAGCAGCACCAGACAGACCGTAAATAATTGTTCGATTTTGCATTTAAATGAATCTATTTTAACGACATCTAATTACCACGTAAAATGGTGCTAAACAGCAGTACTCTTATGTTTTGTCATGACCTTTAGCATTTTATAGGCATCCGACCTTAATGTATTAAATAGTACAGAACATGATAACCATTAAAATCTTTTTTTTTTTAAAAGAATTCTTTAATTTTGTTCTGCATTGTCAAGTTGAGCGAACCAAACACGAATACACGATAATAATATTTTCGTTTAGCGTCTTTTTATGACATTTTTCTACACATTTTGTTCTGCATTGGCAAGTTGAGCGAACCAAACACGAATACACGATAATAATATTTTCGGTTAGCGTCTTTGTATGACATTTTTCTACACGGCGGCTAAAGGTTTTGGAGAAGAATAATGGGGTCCCATGCATGCAAAGATTTATATATGATTTGATCAAGAGTACCTAACCTACCATCATAGCCCTTCCATTAATTGAATCTGCTTCCAGAAGGAAATTTTTAGCTCAAACTAAATTGTTGTGTTATGGACGTATTAAAATTGAAAAGAAACTAAAATTAAAATTATATTAAGGTCAAGTTCGACCCCTCCTTCTCTCTTTCCTAATTACTTTTGGGACACTCCTAAATTTGGAAAGGATAATTGGCACAAAATATTTCTATCGTTTCCATGTTCCGCGCAAATCAACGATGGGTTGATTTTAGTGTGTATTGCGTTAGAATGAAAGGATAGAGTTGACTGATGCAAACCATGAAACATGACAATAATAGAGGTGCTTTGTGCCAATTTAGTGCGAGTATGAACTATGAAGCTCTGATGCAGGAGGTGGACATTGTGCATTGAAATGATAAAAACATTATGTGTTGTGAAATAAACAAGATATCAGAATCGCTCCGATACCACTTGTTATGAAATCAACCACCGGATTGAAATGTTGAAGTTATATGGTACAATAATAAAGTATTTGATCAAATAAAATAATAAGAAAAATAAGAAATATGGTAGAGGAATTGAGAGATATTAATGATTCAAGAATAATGGAGAAGATAGAAAATTACAGTGGATCATATAACTCTAATAATCTATTTTCTCACACTTATAAAATTGTATAGAAGAGCCTAATATTTAGGAAATATGTAGGGGACATCCAAACCCTCTTAGTAGAGTTGTTGATAAAGTAGGATGCCAAAAAATCGAGTTCAAAACGAAAAATGAGAGAAAAATGCAGAAAATCCGAAACAGAGCGCCCGGCGTTCTGTCCGAAAGAAAATATTTTTTTTAATTCTCAAATTGTTTCTCTATCCTAAACTCTTCTTCAAGTTCAATACCAATTTCCAACTCCCAATGGGCTTCCAAAATAGAATTTCAACTTGACATAGGACTCCAATAGCATTCCAAACTGAATTCCTCTTGACGTGCACTTCAATTAGAATTTTTCAATACTGCAAACAAGGAATTCGGGTCACACCCAAATTCTAGCATTATGTATTGAAGAAATATTCCTTAAACTTTTACTGCTCGACCTAACTTTTCATGTTGGTGTAGTACCACCAGATTAACCAAGCATTTTGGAATACAACATTTTCGGTCATTTTCTTCACAAATCCTTGCTTTAATTGAGATTCGTATGCACTTTTCACAAATTTTAAGATTAGGATTGTAATTAATTCTTTATTTTTTTCTTCTTTTCTTTTTGTTTATTTAAAGAGGATGGGAGATTCGTTATGGTCGAAAGTATTGCATTCCGTGAGTTTGGTTGATTTAGGTGTATTCCGTCAAAATGAAAGGTTATGGATATTGTGCCAAACAGTAAAAATTAGAGGATACTTCATCAATTACCCAAAATTTTATTGAAGAAAGAGAAGTAGATCACAATGCATGAAGACGGTCAACTCTTTTAACGTCATTTTTAATTATGCAATTTGAAGGTTAGGAAAGCTTAATTGATTATGTCCATTTAATAAAGAAATTGAAAGCGAAAGATTAACCAATTAATATATAAAATAAGCATTGCCCGTTGTCAATTTTGTTTAATCTTCTTAGTCATATTAAATCTATCGTAATGAAAATGCCATGAGTCAAGACCAAGGAATCTGATGTGTACATTTTGGTCTTTTTCTTTCAAAACTATATTTTTTATTATTTTCACTCGATGTAATAATTATCTATTTGAATTGCCATTGATTAAAATAGTGTTAGGTGACAATATGATAAGAAATGAGTCAAATGACCAATCCCACTGAGAGGTTCCACTTAAATTATGCAACTTCATGGAGGATGGTGGTAGGGCCATCGGTGGTGGTCGTTAGGGGTAGAATGCTAAGCTCGTGAAATTATGCAACTTCAGTTTAGAATGCTAAGCTCGTGAAATTCATGACACAGTTGGTCGGATACTCGAGATAGCTAGAATCTAGATATTAACCATAAGGTGTCCTGCTAGATTTTGGAAGCTTTCAGTGTCAAACAGGAAATAACGAGTAATCTTATTATCTACAAGTCCCAAAACACTATAACAACCCATCATTCCAAACAACTGAGAATCAATCGTGCTACATGTACATCTTGTTTACATCATTTTTGACATCGTGTCACATGTCGGCACATGATTTGACAATTTAAAAAAAAAACGCATTCTCCTGTCCAACACTTTTTGATTAATCACGCAATATAAGATAAGACATCATCCATGGAATGTACGCTTACCATAATTCATTGAAAATTTTGGCCAAAATACACAGTTCAAATACATGATTTATTGTCACTGTTCTCAAAGTGCATTTTGATGCAAGCATCAATCTCTTTTATACCAACATATTCTAATACCACATGAAGTGAAGAAAACCCTAATCAGGAATATCAAGAGTCCAAAGAAATTGAATTTATTTCCCATTTATGTTTGGTTCACTTCAAAAATACACTTGTAATCAAATTAATTTACAAATAAATAAGTTTTTAACGAACATTAGAGTCCAAAGAAATTGAATTTATTTCCCATTTATGTTTGGTTCAGTTCAATAATACATTTGTAATCAAATTAATTTACAAATAAATAAGTTTTTAACGAACATTCTTTTTACTGACAAAATTAAATATATAGCAAGTTACTTATTTTAATAATAGCATCTAATTCATGGTCAAACAAGTAAGTTTTTACACATAAGTATATGAATAGGTAATATATATAACAACATGAATAGAAACAAAAATTTGATTATTTTAAAGCTTAGCCAAACATGTAGCATCTCTTATTGTTAAAAAAGTAAGTTATTCTAGCTTTGATCAATAAAAGAATATTATTATTATAAAAATTACTTATTTAATTATCGCGAAATGTTTAAACTTAGTCAAATATGCATCAAATAAAATAACTGATTTGTTAACGAGTTATTTGTGTTGCATGAATGTGAAAGAAATGGATATGTAATTATTGTGGGAGTCTTTAACTAAATTTGAACCAATTGAAATTAGACCGGTTAAAGTTGGCTAAGCTAAAATAGATTTTTGGACTGAATTTGAGCATAAGTTTTTAGTGGTAATTACATAAAATCAGACATTAAATTTGATCTTCTTAAAAATCAGGTTTTGGCTTTACTTAATCAAAAATCATGTTTTAATTTTACAATTAATATTAATAATAATATTTTAAATTAAATTAATCTACTCAAAAAATGTTGCTAAAGCTCAATTTTGTTAAACAATAGCAACATTCATGTATTCAAATGTTGCGATAGATCCCTTTGGCAACATTTAACTACCAAATGTTGCCTTTTATGTGTTGCAAATGGTGTTTTTTTGGCGTAGTGCATATGAATTATAAAATGGAAAAAAATAAATAAAAAAATGAAGCTGATTTCGAAATACTATAGATTTTGGTGTCAATCTTCATGGAACACGATCCTAAAACTTTGCTGCTATTTCATCAAAAACAAAAAACAAAACAAGAAGTTGACTCAGGTAATTAACTAGGCACTTTTTTCTACTAAATCCCTTCCAAGAAATTTGAACTAATTTCTGTAATTACCACTAGTTTATAATATAAAAAATACACATTCATAGAACAGAATCCTCATGGTGTTAGAGCCCCGTCTTCCTTTAGCTTTACACATTGTCTTGACTATAAAGAACATGTTGACAACATAGTTGGCATTTTAAAATTAATTTCACCATGCATACGAAGGGAAATGAGGGAGTTTCGAGATGGAATTGTCTTGGATCGATGAAAGCGCTTCGGGTGGCAAAGCGGATTGCCTTAGTTGGGTCACTCGAATGAAAATGGAAGAAAATAATTCGGCTCCATTTCCTTTTTTTAAGGAAAAGATGCCGTACCCTGATCTTAACTGGTTACCAAACGCGTGACTTGGTTATCAGTTTTGACAATTTCACTTTTGGGCATTAGTTTAGATTGCGATTTTCAACGTAATTACCTTTTACTTTCTAATTCAAGTTACCCTAAAGTTTTCTTGCCCCATCAACCTTATGTTTAATGTCAATTCACAACAACTAACATTGTAATATTATTTTATTGAAAAATGTGGAGTTGAAAAGAAAAGAGGAAAAAATGTATTTCGAAAATAACGTGGATCAAACAATGGCTAAGATTAAATAAATAAATCTAATCTCTTTAACTATGAGAATTTACGTTATAAAATTGTGCTCGAGTCGAGTGTACAAAGATAAAATAAATCCAACCTCCAGCCATGTTGGGGGTGGAAAACAATACTCACTCTTGTACACGTGTCAAGAAACTGTTGAAAATGAAATAATTATTGCACCTAAAAAATTAATCTAGAGAGAGTGCTTGTTGAAACTTCTTTTTCTATATGATACATGCTACATAAATTAAAATGCATAATACAGCTTCAGAACAAACCCAAAAGGACCAAGATCAAACAAAATGAAAAAAAAGTTTTAAAAAAAAATGAAAAATAGACCAACAACAAGAGCTAGCCATTAGCGAGCTCAAACATCAGACATCAACATGGCAGCTCATAATTAACTGATACTTAACAGCAATGCCACTGTTTTTATTACCAAAGTTTATATAAGCCGGACAATTCACTTACAAATGATACTTCCGAGATACGAATGTTCCAACTCTCCATCGTATTCTTCCATTCACCCTAAAGTTAATCAACACTGTTCCGATCGACCATTTGATCCTGGTTCAGAGAAACAGCAAGGTACGGCGCCACTATACACATCACTACAAGAAAATGCGGCTTCAGAGACGGTAATTTTCGTTGCTGAAGCCGTAAATTCCTTTGCTGAAGACTTTCGCTAACATATTTTATTTGTCGAAAAATCCGTCGGTAAAAGGGCCCTCGCTAATTTTATCGACGAATTCTTAGTCGTCGGTAATCAGCGACGAAATATGTCGTTGGTGTTCAGCGACGAAATATTCCGTCGGTGTTCAGCGACGGACAAAATTGTGGCTAATTAGCGACGGTGTTAGTCACAATTTTTCCGTCGCAAATTTGAAAAAAAAAATTAAAAAAAAATGAATATATATAGAATGATGACATTCAATTTTTAATGTAAAGACTAACTAACAATTTACATAAAATTGCCAATAGAAACAGTTCCACCAAAACATGCTCATTTGGATTCATAAATTTCTTGGAGTCAGTAACCTCTTGATCACTGAAATCATCAATGACCCTGGGAATCTCCAATGATCCAGGCCTCTTGCTCCAGTCCATTCCGTGACATGAGCCTGAAATCATTGCCAGCCGTAGCTGAGATGAAACTACTATAAGATCCTCCTCGTTTATTGTCTCCAGTTCATTTTTACAGGTAATTGCAGCGCCTCCTGTATCATACACATAAAATCCACCAACTAGATTATGAAGATGCTGATATCATCTTTGTACACATGCAAAACTGCAGCCAAATAACACACATGTTCCTCTTGTTCCTGTCAACCATCATATAAACCACGTACTAAAAAAATGACACACACATATCAAATCACAGTAAAGATATCATTTTTAACATCTAACAATAAAATTTTCTCTTAAAAAACACATTTTCAACTCATTGTAGCACGATTCCTGCAGTCCTTAGTCTTTAATGACGACACCTCAAACATTTCTTTAGCAGGTCAGAACGGTTATATCTCAGATAAAAATATGGGCTGCAATTATCATGGTGCACAAACTCATTATAATATACATGCTTTTGCAGAGTTATCTCTTTATTCTTATTTCCCTTTTTTCAAGGGAATGTAATTGCAGAGGATGAACATAAATGTATTTTACCAATAATCCATAATTAAAGGATCACATTTTGCAATACATTATGGAAAACCAACTTAAAATCGCCCGCTTTACCAATTTCAAAAGGTTAGTGTTGGAAACACAGAGAGAAAAGAAGCGGAGCAGGAGTGGCTAACATATCCTTAAAAAAATGTACATAGAATATTGAAGCAAATAGTAACTTCAAAAAATATCTCCAAATTAAACTGGGTTACCTTTATTAAAAGGACATTACAATCACAATAATGAACTACAAATCGTTAAACTATTTATCCACATACGAGTCACTCAAACAGTCAAACCACCACATAAAATAAAAAGAAAATACACCCCTTTAGCAATAAAGACGGCTGATCAATCCTTTAATTTCCTTTCTCTATCCCTGGCTTATATTTCAGTTTAATATACATAAGAGTTGCACAGTATCTTATTGGCATAAATCCAAGTCAGAACAGAGCCTAAGAGGAAAAAACATTCCATTAATTTTACTTTCAGATTATTTAAAAATCCTCAGGATACTATGCCATATAGCTTCAAAGTTACAAGTTAAATTCATATTATTTTGGTTAACTTATTCTCTCTTTCTATCGGGTTCAGTATCAGCGGGATTTGGGTGCATATTTGGATGAACAATATATAGAGGATGTGTAAGTGTTCAATTTTTTAGGAGAAAAAAGGAGATGATATGAACCTCAGTGTACTTGAATTGCTGTTCGACATTCTTAATAACGTTTCCACATTCCGAACACTTGAAAGTTCCCTGAAAAAGCTCCGGGAGAACTTCACTGGTCCGATCGCTCACAGAAACAGCTTCCCAATCTCGGCCTTAGTCAATTCTCGCAATCTGCAAAAATTGCCCAAGCAATAATCAATCAAAAGAGAAAATAGCAGAAGAAACTGTGGGTCTATAATGAATTATTGGAAGAGTTGCCTTGACAGAGAAATATTTTTTCCAATATTGTGAAGTTGTCTTGTGAGTAGCCTTCTTGATACCTCTTTTGTAAGCTCTAACCATGAATTCATCACTTCTTTCTCTGCAAATACGTTTCTTTAGTCTAAATGTGTGCCTGAATTGTTATATTGTAGACAAACACAGAGCCTTTTTAAGGAAAAAGACAAATCATTGGTAGCTTACATTTGCTAAGTTTGATAACCACGTAAGATAGGCTGCACCAAGAATCCAAGATATACATTTACAAAAGGCTTGTATAGAAGTTTCAAATCCCCGTCCACTCCATAGTTCTGGTAAGACAAATCTCTACGGAAATGTCAATTAAATCATTTTCAACAAGCTACGAATGATCAAATGGAATCCTCAAAAGAGGCATATTGTGCTTTAGCAACTTATAATACATTCAAGCATCTAACAACTTCAGAAATTTCCAGACATATAGTGCAAGAAAATTTTTATACCATATCAATGATTTTCTTCTTGTCCCATGGCATTATCAACTAATTTTGTACTCTGACTCTGCATATCAAGTCCTTGACATTCAAAAAACACTTTGAAGGCCATACTTAGCACAACAGTTTCTCGAGAACTTATTTAAGTTCAAGCTTCAGAAACTGAGTGCTGCTCAGGGGTTACCCTACACTAAAGTGCGGCCAATGCTATCAAGAAACACAAACAATATCTCGAATACGTGATGCTGCTCAGCAAATTCATCTCACGCAATAAACAAAGTTAGGCGGAAAGATATAAATTCCAAGAAATTAACTGTAAACTGGAAAATTAAAACCACCACTTACTTCAACAGATACATTAGAACAATCCCAAGCAGGTGGCGGCCAGAACATGTCGGAATAACCATCGTGACTATCAGTTGGCCCAATATTCCCACTCTCCAAATCAAACACTCCGATACTGCGACTCTTCCACAGCCAATCATCCTTCCTGCCCCTAAAGAACTGATGTGTAAAGAATATACAATTAACTTTACACCAATTATCCCCAAACACCACCGAAGTAGAAGTTGAAAATTTAAAACATCAAAATCTAAATGTTAATTCAAAATCGCCATTCCCATAAAAGCCAAAAAAATCATCGTCAAATCACTCATACAATAGAAGAACGAATTATGAAGTTGCAAAAATGAAGGAAACGAGGAGAATTTAAAAAAACTGAAAAAAGGACTAGCGTCGGCCGCGAGAGAAGGAGAGAGAGAGAGAAGATTTTAGGGTAAGATGGGGGAGATGAAATACGTAGAGGGATAAGGATTTGATTTATTTTTAATTTCCATAAATTTAGCGACGCAACAAACTGTAGGTAATATTTTAGATTCAAAAATTATTAATTTGAATAATATTGCCAACGGATTCTCAACGAATAGATTCGTATGTAAATTTCAATTAATTTTTCCTTTTTTGGTATTTTACTTTCCATGGTTAGCACGTCGTAATTTTCGTTGGTAAAATTTTATATTTTATTAAGAAATTTACCAACAGATCAACAACGAAATCTCAATAACGGCAATATGTCGTTGGTAATTCCGTTGTTAAGACATTTACTTTATAATTATAATTTTTTTTAAAATATGTCGTTGATAATTCGTTACTAATAGCAACGGATTGAGTTCGTTTGTAAAAATCCGTTTCTGTAGAGGCAGTTTCTTGTAGTGCTTGTAATCAAATTAATTTACAAATAAATAAGTTTTTAACGAACATTCTTTTTACTGACAAAATTAAATATATAGCAAGTTACTTATTTTAATAATAGCATCTAATTCATGGTCAAACAAGTAAGTTTTTACACATAAGTATATGCACTGGCGGATCTACAGTGGGGCGTAGTGGGGCACGTGCCCCACTAGGTTTTGAACTTTTTTTTTTTTATATGAGGGGAAAAAGACTGCTTTCAAAATCAAAAACCTCACACACGTCCTTCCTCTCATCTCTCCCGTCTGACCTTAAATCACCAGTGACCGCTCTCCGTCCTCTGAGTCTCTCCCACCGTCCCACTGCACTCTCCCACACTACACGCCGACACACCAGGTAAGTTCTTCCGGCATGTGCCTACTGATTTTTTTAGGGATTTTGAATTTTGATGTTGGAGAAGTTGCAATTTTGGATGATTTTGATTTTTGAATGAACTTTGAAGTTTGATTATGATTTAGTCATTTAGGAATGAAGCTGTTATCTGTGCTGATGGTGATGGGGGTAATACATACCCAATATGGCCCTATTCGCCGTTAAGGTCAAATTGCCCCCGTCTGACTTCTGAGCCGTCTCTTCCGGTTCTGTCTAGGACTAAATAAGTACAGATGGGAGGTGCTTATAAAAGGAAAAATATGCTTTAAATAAATAACATATATTTGTGGTTTATAAGTCCCAACCTCATAATAATGCCTGCACGCTTTTTCTTCTGCCCCTGGGTAGATCTAAGATTCATAACTCTCTTGCGAAATTTCATAATAAAGTCGATCTAATTTCTGTTGCCTTTTTACTTTCTGTATACTATGGATATTCATTTAACTCGTTCTATGGCCTAAATTTTTAGTGAGGCCTTGGAGTGCAGAAGTCTGATAGTGTTTCATAAGAAGTTACCATGTATTTTACTGAAATCAATCCAATGTTTAGCTTTTTCTTGTATTTACATTTTGCTATGTCATAAACAATCCTAACTGGCAGAATTTGCATAGATATACTCCCAATCCTTGTTCCAGATTTTTTACTATTTTCACCCCGAAGGTAAAAATAAACTCTAAGTTTGCAGGGCAGCTAGAGATGTAAAGTTAGACATCTGGTCCATTTGATGATCTTTAACTTTTTGCATTCTTTATCTAACCAAGGTCTTCTATTCTACTGGCATTTTTTGATACTTTTTCACATCATTGACTTTGCGTGGAAATGTTTGAATACCTTGATATTAAGCTGCATGGGATTTCAGAACTTCACCCATATCTGATTGTTGAAAAAAATACTTTCAGGGATTGATATGGCTTCTCCCAGAACGATTTTCTGAATCAGAAATTGGACCAGAAGCAGGTTTTGTGATATTTTGGTAACACTGACTTCTTCTTACTTAGAATCATGCAATGAACCCACGTTCTTTGGCTCAATGAAAAATGGATTTCAGGACACAATTTTTTGTTTCATTATTTTATTTCATTTATGGAAAAATCATATAAAAAGTCGCTCTTAGATAGTTTGATTGTGCCCCCCCAGTAGAAAAAGTCTGCGTCCGCCCCTGAGTATATGAATAGGTAATATATATAACAACATGAATAGAAACAAAATTTTGATTATTTTTAAGCTTAGCCAAACATGTAGAATCTCTTATTGTTAAAAAAGTAAGTTATTTTAGCTTTAATCAATAAAAGAATATTATTATTATAAAAATTACTTATTTAATTATCGCGAAATGTTTAAACTTAGTCAAATATGCATGAAATAAAATAACTGATTTGTTAACGAGTTATTTGTGTTGCATGAATGTGAAAGAAATGGATATGTAATTATTGTGGGAGTCTTTAACTAAATTTGAACCAATTGAAATTAGACCGGTTAAAGTTGGCTAAGCTAAAATAGATTTTTGGA